TACAATTTATACTGTATATTTGACTTACAATCTATTTAAAAGACAAGGTATGATATTTTCTCCTAGTATTAGAAATTTTAAAAAGTATATTTCCATTTTCCTTTGACTTATATTAGTTCTTCCCTATTTTTTATACACACATGCACATATATGTATGAAAAAATGTGTATAACCTGACATAAGTTTGATATTGTTTCATAGAAACCTTTAATAACCTTTTAAATAGGTTCATCTAATATATTTTACATAGTCCTGCATAACTATCATTTTGAGAGCTCTTTATTCTTCATCCAGGAGCATACAGCAACTCCTCTTGCCTTCTGAATTATGCTGTTTGTTATTTCCTATATACTACGTCTGGAGGTATTAGAATATTTTGAGTTTGTATAACTGGAAAACATTTTACTTTTAGTTTTCAAAGGTATGTTTGCTAAGTTCAAAATTCAGAGGATAGATCTGTTTTTTTCCTTTATTTCAGTCTTTTAATTAGTCTAGTTTCTTACACACTTGGTCTTTTTATTTTCTTTCTAATGTGGAATAAGATGTTATTTAATTTTGTTCTTCCATAGCTAACTTTTATATATATCCTTTAATGATTTTTTTCTTTATAATAAGTTTTGGACAATTTCATTTTTGTGTATCTGGATATGATTTTATTCAGATTTTTTGTGCAAAAGGTTCATTTTTCTTGGAAATGTGCTGTTATAAGTTCAACTAAATTCAGAAATTTTAAATCTTTAAATATTTATTGCCCACCTCTTTGTACTTTGAGAATTCTAATTATATGAATATAAGTTTCTTGATTTTGACACAGAGTGTCAAAATGACTGATCTGTAAATTCTTATTCATTTTTATTTTGGACAATTTTTATTGTTATATTCATTTAAGTTCATGAATAATTTATTTACAATGTACAATCTATAAAAAATAATAAAACATGGACATAGGGAAATAAAATAAAAGACAAAAAAATAAAGAAAACAACAAAAGAAATGTCCCCTTCATATTTCTGTTGGAACTTTCAGATTGTAGCCTTTACCTTCCTTAGAGCTTTATTTCCATCTTGTGCAGTCTGAAGGACTTTTAGCATGGAAGG